AAACCATTTCAGGTGACTACCTCTTGAAGCTCATGGAGAGAATGCCAAGAGTGTGCAAAGCAGTAATCAGAGCAAAGGGTGGCTATTTTGAAGAAACTAGAATATAAAACATGTTTTCAGTTATTTCACCTTTTTTTGTTAAGTACATAACTCCACATGTGTTCATTCATAGTTTTGATGCCTTCAGTGAGAATCTACAATGTAAATAGTCATGAAAATGAAGAAAACGCATTGAATGAAACAGTGTGTCCAAACTTTTGGCCTGTACTGTATATGAAGAATTAATATGTTAATCATGACAAAATTTCATGCAAATGTCTTTAAGGTCAAAAGTCAGCTTCACTGTGACATCATAATAACTTGCAAAAACACTTTTCTGGCCATTACTCAACATCTTATCTTAGAAACATAGGGGGACATTTGGTCAGAAACTAAATGCATGACACTAATCTTGGGTGCCCATGTCGAAACTGTGCTGATTGCATAGATCTTCTGTGCTGCAGATGTGTGTGAAGCATCGATGCTTTCACAGACATGGATTTAAACTGTAAATGCTACTTGACATGTTCGCTGAGGCATGCAACCATAAAGCACAAATTCTAGTTTGGAACGTGCTGCAGGCATCAAATTCAGAATAGGTGTGTATTTCCAAAAGCAATTAAGTTTATTAGTTTGAAGATTAAATATCTTGCTACTATATTGTACCATATTAAATTGAACATAGGTCAAAAAGGATTTGCAAATCATTACATTCATGTTTTTAAATTTATGTTTGAAAGTGTCCCAACTTTTTTTGAATTGGGATTGTAAGAGAGTGAGAAAACTTTTAGCAGCAATAAATTAACATCTAAGGCAGAAATATCTTTCCCATGTATATGATGTTTATCAGGGTGTAAACCTGCAATGCTTCAGTTTGGGTCAAATGTTGAGTGAATTCCCAAGTACAGAACTGTTATTTGTCTTTATTTAAGTGCTCATGTCAGTATAGATTCTAATTCTGTGGGAAACACTGAATGGTCATAATAATATGCTCTGAATCTGAGACAGCATCACAACTGCTTTTGCAATTTTTTGCTCCTTCAAATTCATTGCAAAACACACCTAAAAATATTGCAACATGCACTGCAATTTCTTAGAAAGGCTGCCGTGAAATTAGGCATTTCAGGCCATAGCAATCAGAAAAAACAGCCCACAAAATCCTGGAAGAACTGTAAAAGTCCAGAATGCCAGTCTGTCTGTGTGTGGAGACTCCATGGATACCTGAAACAGCAGTCCCTTGTCCCCTCATTTTAACGGCTTCAGCTTTGAAAGGAGAGGAAGAGGAGAAGGATGCAAAAGATGTGTGTGTGTATGTGTGTGTGTTTGTGTGTGTGTGTACCATCTCTACATTATGCAGGCCAGTTCATACAGCCTCCCTCGGAGAGCTGAGTCTTTGTCACAAAGTGTGGACCACAACACTGATTGAACAGCGTCTACTGTTGCAGTTTGTGCCCAGTCTAATATAGCTTGTTACTCCCTCTTGTTTCGCTCTGTGTGCTAGTGGAGCCTAACTGCAGTCAGGACCAGAAAATGTTTGTCACGATCCTGCTCGGAGGTCAGTAAAGTTCCTTGATATATTTATATTCTCACTGCTTTAAAGGTGGAAAAAAAATTCAACCAAAGTTGCTATTGATGTAGAATAGGATTAATCTTGATGTTTGACGTTTGATTATTTTAGTTTACAGGAAAACATACATTATTTATGGTAGCAAATGGTTTCTACGCCTCAGAAATCAATTTGATAGTGACCTGGTTTGCTATCTGAGCACAGGTAGAATAAAGTCGCATTATGAAATAATCAAACTGCAAAGTTTAATGTGCAACAGATATTACAAGATATTTTTCTTGACAGAGGACAGGATGGAAATGCTCAATCCCAACTGCAGGCTGATAAACTTCATCCATCATTTAAAGGAGCGGTGTGGTCTTGATCGCAAAGGTACTGAAATACTCAAACATTTATAGTGGTTTGGATTTGCAGTAGTGGTAATGGCTGAAATGATCCATTAGTCACACTTTACTGGCCATTAAAATTCCTTTTATCCCTGTTGGAATCAATAGAGTGTAATCCCAACATAATGCACCTGAAACACCAAATGTCCTTTTGTAGTCAGATATCTATGAAAATGTCTAAAACTTATTGTCAGTTCTATAGCACTCAGAACTTGAACAGTAGGTCTGGCCACATGTTTATCAATTATTGACACCAAAATTTAATGTTAATCTTAGCTAAATAAAATTGTTCCTGCAGAGTGTGTGGAGTTGATGGACAGTAACAGTAGAGTGATGAACCTGGAGGGGAAGCAGCAAAGTGTGGCTCTGGCCAGCAGCGTGCTGGTAGAAAGACAAAACTACGTCCTCCTACGAGTATGCCGTGAGTCCATCTGACTCCACGTTTATATCTATATATCTATATCTTATCTCTATTTGGAAAAAAAACAACAAAAAAGATTATCATGATTATAATTCTAGTTTTGCTAAGTGAATGTAAAAGTATGATTTTAGTTTAAGTATGTGGATGTTTTTCCAATTAAGATGATATAATTACAGTATATACAGTATATTATATTTTTATTTTGGCAGATATTGTAGGTGTAGTTTAAACTCTGCTGTGCTGTTTGTGAAGGTATTCTATGGTAACATTTTGTTTTATGGGGGAAATGCCTGACAAACTTGTCCAGCAGTTTTATTAGACATTAAAGTTTATGACTTAACTTCCCTTCAGGAGACAGTGATACTGGAGGTCGGAAATATGTGTCTCTCCTAAACAACTTCAGCCAGAGTCATCCTGAGTTAGCAGGTAACAATAACCATTGCCAGAGGAAAATAAACTTCAAGACTGAAACTGAACAGAGCAGCACTGATCAACCAGCAGACTAAAAGTAGCTCTCTGAGGCTTCCTGTTGGTCAAACTCATGTTTACAACTTGAATTCAACTCTGTTGTAGAGCTGCTGAGGAAACTGAATAACCCAGAGCAAGAGCGAGACAGAGAGATCAGAGGAGGACGGACACAGAGGAAGAGTCCTGCCAACCAAAGTGGGAGCAAAAACATCTCTGCAAATAACAAGAGACGCCAAATCAAGTAGTTTCTGTACAACTTAAAACTTTAAAAACGAAATAAATTTGTGTCATATTTACTGAAACGGTCCCTATACTCTGGAAAAAAGTACATGAAATGCACAAGGAACTTACATCAAACTGCTCCAACAGCAAAGGTTTGGAAACAGCCAACCTCAGACGTCTGTAGAAATCTTGAGGGGGGTACTACAGGGAAGATTAATGTTTTTATAATATTTGGGCCTGACCACCTTGTATTCATTAGATTTTTTTTTGTAATGAAATCAGAAAAATCTGAAAAAAATTCAGCTTTGAATATGTTTATGATCTCAATCAGTAAGCAAAGTCCTTTGACGTCACTGGGGATGCTGTCCCAAATTTAATGACGTCATTAAATTTCAAGAACCAAGGTTATAAATAGGTCCACTGGCCCTGTTCCTCTACAGCCCTGAAGACAAATGGCCGTCCCCCAAGAGCTTGGGTCTGTCTGAGGTTTCTGCCTATTAGAGAAACATTTTTCCTTACCACCATCACCAAGTGCTTGCTCAAGGGGAAATTTTTCGGTCTGCGGCTGTGGACGATTTGCCTCCCCACTGACTGGCCTCCTCGCATGCTGTCCAAAGACAGATTAGGACCGCATGCCCTGATGCCCCTCACTGGAAGGATGTTTCCAGATGATTTGGGGCATCTCTCTCCACAGCCTGCAAATGGAGAAGCTCTGCCCACAACTCACTTAGACCAACACGCCACCCCACTGGACCATCACCCAGACCACCCCCATGGAGACCTGATCATCCTCATCTTCCTCCACATCATGTCCCTCGAAGACATCCAGCTCAGCCTGCTCTGCTCTCACCTGAGAGGTCAGGCACTGCACTAGACAACTCATACATTGTCATTGTGTTTGTTTGACTTTTTCTTTTTTTACAGTAAACAAGTAAGGATGTATAAAATGTTATTAATCTCATATTAATGTACTGAAACCTCATATATACAGTAATTTGTTCTTAAATTATTTTACAACGAGAGACTAAGGAGTCTGTCTGATTTCAACAATGAATGTACCTTTTGTGCTTCAGACTGAATGAAACCTAAATCATTTGTTATTGTTTGTTGGCATGTCCAGGGTTTGATGTCCTCTGCTTTCGGCCTTAAAATCGGGCCTGCGTTCCAAATCACATACTTCTACTATATACTTTTAGTATATACTGCAGCTGCCCTTAAAAAGTATGTAGTGTAGTATGCAGTATGCATGCAGTATGCAGTATGCATGCAGTATGCATACTATTGGGACTCACTACATCCGCCATCACATCGCTCCCTGAACTCCGACCCTCTTGCTCACTTCCGCCGCCGTCCGTAGCGCCACATTTGAATATTTTGTTTTGTTGTACTTCAGAGATGCAGCAAATCTCCTCTCGTAGAGCTTGCCAGAGTCGTGCATACGATAAGATGTTTGTTGTTAAATATATTTACAGCTATGCAGCTGCTGGCACTATATTCTGTCTGCACGTGAAGCAGCCTTACATTCACATTACTTTTATTTGTAGTGTAACATACTTACACATTCTTACTACATTACTTTATATGTATTTGACTTTTACTATTTATATATTTACTAGTCTATACTCCTCATACCTGGTCCATAGTGTATTCATATTTAGTCATATTCATTCATTATTTATACCACACTTACACCACTGCCTATACTGGTAGAATCTTCTATATTGTAATCATACTTGAACCCTAACATTGATTATATTCTAATCACAATAAAGTTGAATGTTGTAACCGTGTTCTTGCAAAACTGTATGATATATGACAGTATATAATCAGATTATTGCAGTCCTAATATGTAGTGTCTTAGTATCTCAAATTAAATAAACCATGTATGAAAGGAAGTGTGGGCGTTGGTTGTACATGCAGCTCAGTCAGTGCGACGTAACTTCCGCTGCGCAAAGGATTGTGGGTCAGAATGGCCAAAGAAGCACGCTGACATGCATACTGCGAAATATGACCGGATGTAGTAGAACATCCTGGTACTTTTGGCATACTGCATCTGACATACTATGTATTGGGACACACTAATTCTTTTTCTGGCATACTAAATAGTATGGTAGTATGGGTATTGGAACGCAGGGCGGGACTGCAAACTTCACCAAACAGGAGAGGCGAATATGTTTAGTTTCACAGAAACACCACCGCCAACTAGTGTGTTGGGGGTGTAACTGCAGAGTGACAGACACACCATCGCACAAGTATAAATGCTCACAATGGCGTAGGCCAGGTGCGTAGGCTCTGCATAGTGCTGACGCACAATTAAGCAGAAAAAATAATGAAGTGATAACATTTAATATCCAAAAGGTCAAAAGGTCAGCTTCACTTTGACATTATAATGTTATACATAAAAAACTTTTCTGTGTGTGAAGCATCATGTTTTCACAGACATTGATGTAAACTGTGCATGGAGACATACAACCATAAGGCAGTAATTCCAATTGCAATTATTTTATTATTACTAAAGTTAGGTGTTGGAACAGCTGGGGGTTCAGTGCCAGGAGAAGCCAGGGGTCAGTAGATGCCCTGCTTAACCTGCTGAGCCCAGCTACTCCATTACCTAACCTGCATGTCATCGGGCGAACCGGAGCATCCCGGAGAAAACCCGACCTAACAAGTGGAGAACATGCAAACTCCACACGGAGAGACAGCAGCCAGATGGATTTGAGGCCAGGACTCTTTCTGTAGGTGCGTTTGCACTCAGGGTTTTTGGTGCACAAATTGAAAATGCACACAGAAAAACCTGAGTGGAAAAGCAGAGAATTGATCTTTTGCTAAGCCCCTTTGTGATGGCCCGACAAGCCCACACTGTAACTAACTGCGCTCCCTGAAAAAAGTGGTATCATGTTTTTGGAAAAATGACATCGTGATTCCAGAGAGAAGCAGACAGAGGGATCTACAAAATGTGCTTGAAGGATATATCCAGGATGTCAAACTGACTCAGCAGCAACAACACCTTAAAAATACAAAGATATTAGAAGCTAAAGCCAGTCTGCGTCTGGGGGCGGGACTTAGCGAAGGGTCAATTAGTGAGCACTGTAGGAGCCATCCATGGTGTCCGGTGTTAATTTGTCCGGTAGGGGTCACTGTGTTGTCTGAAACATTCACTTACGGACAGGTGTTGCTTGAGGCGGGAGCACTCTTCTGACGCGCAACTTCAAGTCAGGTGTAGACTTTGGAGTTGAGGGTGGAGGTGGGCACGGCACCAATTTTCTCACACAAGGCTGGGTCGTTTTGGTGAGGGGAGGGAGGACGGGCACACGACTAGACCTGTCTTCAGACTGAGACGGGGTCCTGTCAGCAGAGAGAGGGAACCGAGTGTGCCTCGATAATTGCGGAGACTCACCCTGGTGCTCTGCTTTGAGCTTGTGCCAAGCGTCCACCTTCATCTCACTCAGGCCCTCTGTGACCTTTTTGTTTTCTTCCCTGGCACGCTGATAAGTCACCTCGTACTTGACTTTTTCGCCCTTTAATGCCATGAGCTGCTTCTTGAGCTCTCTGTTGTCCCACTGACTCTTCATCAGCTTCACCACCACGTTATCCGGACGCTGTGCCAACAGGAGCTTTAGCTCCTCGATCTCTTCGCGCTGTTTCACAACGAGTGCCGCTTGGCGCAGCACACGGCGCTCTTTCTGGTAGCGCTGCCTGTATTTATACAGCAGAAAGGTGGGATCATAGACTTGCTTTCCACTCCTCGCTCTGTCTGTGATCAACACAATTTTCTGCCTAAGAAGCTT